GGGCAGCGGGCCTATGCCGGCAGTCAGACATTCCCCAAGGGCTCCTAGACTGTGAGAGGTGCGGGCTTAGGGGACACCCGCACCCCCCCCACCCCAGTGCATGAATTTTGTGTACCAGGCCTCTAGTTGTAAAATAAATCTAAATAATCAACAATTTTTCCCCTCATACTGTATTGCTAATATATTTCTATAATTTTATTATCTTTATTTTTAAAGTGATCTTAAACACAATGTCATTTAATTTTTTTTTTTTTTTTTTTTAAATAACAAAAGGCTTAGTCTGCCGGAACCGATTTGGCTCAGTGGTAGAGCATCGGTCTGCGGACTGAAAGGTCCCGGGTTTGATTCCGGTCGAGGGCATGTACATTGGTTGCGGGCACATCCCCGGTAGGGGGTGTGCAAGAGGCAGCTGGTCGATGTTTCTCTCTCATCGACCTTTCTAGCTCTCTATCCCTCTCCCTTCCTCTCTGTAAAAAAATCAATAAAATATATATATATTAAAAAAAAAAAAAAGGCTTAGTCTACTTAGTCTACTATCTAAAGGATAATGCCAATGGTGAAGATCAAAGACAACCTCAAACAAAGCTTAAAAGAAAATTGCACTCCCTTCTGACTGTCTGGGCGTGGCTTCGCAGGGACAGCCCGTGTTTGGAGATGCTGCTGGCCCCAAGCCAGCCCTTCACTCCTGTGCTTGGCCCAAAGACGACGAACCCGGAGGCGCTGCTCTGACCTGAGCAAGGCCAGAGATCTTAGATCCCTTTCTAATCATAATTACTTTGTAAAAGTTAATCAAATTTATTTTATATATTTTTATTGTTGATTACAGATGCCCCTCATTTTCCCCTGCTTTAGCCCCCTCCGTCCAGCCTTCACCCTTCCCCAGGCCTTCACCACTCTTTTGCCCATGTCCATGGACTGTGCATATGGGTACATAACTTCTTTGGTTTATATCTTCTCACTCCCTACCCCCACATTGAGGTATGTCAGTCTGTTCCAAGTCTCCATGCTTCAGGTTTTATCTTGTTGGTCAATTCGTTTTGTTCATTAGATCCCACAAAGAAATGAGATGATGTGATGTTTGTCTTTCTCTGATTGGCTTATTTCCCTGAGCAGAATAGTCTTCAGATCCATCCACGATGTCCCGAAGAGAAAGAGATGCTTCTTTTTTTACAGGTGCATAGTATTCCATTGTGTACCAAAGCTTTTTTTTATTCATTCATCTAACGATAAGCACTTGGGCTGTTTCCAAATTTTAGTTATTGTAAAAAATAAATAAATAAATAAATAAATAAATAAATAAATAAATAAATAAACGAATAAGAGGGAGAGAGAGCCCACCTGGCCAATTAATGAGTCTGTTAATAAAGATCGATCCTGTGGTGAAACTCTCCTTCTAGTAACAGTTCAGGAAGTGAGAAGTAGCCCATCATTAAAACGGTGCATGCTTATTGTAGAACATTTAAGGAAGGCAGGGAAAGGAAATTAAAACTGTTCCATCACTCTAAGATAACCCCTGCACTAAAAGATAATCACCATTGCTTTCCTGTTTGCTTTTCTTTAGTCCTTTCTTTTCATGCTGATATATTTTTGTTTTACCAAAAATGAGATCATTCTCTACATGCTGTTATAGCCTATTTTTTCCACTTGACTCTCTTGATCATCTCCCAGGACTTGGAATCGAGTTCTAGGATATAATTCTAATGGCTGCACAGCCAGACACTTACTGAAGTTGTTTCTCTTTTTTGTTAAGTTGTGAGGGACTACTCTTAAAATCATGCTGTGACAAATGTCCTCAAAGAGGGGCGGGGGGGAGTAAATCAAATTTATACAAATTTACAAGATTAATTTTACAATGTGAATGTGCATGCAGTTAATCCGGAGTAAGCAATCTTTTATAACTCCCAGGTTCTTAGCATAGGGGCAGCCAGATAACAGGCACTATTTTATAATTCACAATTCAAACGACAAAGGAATTTATGAAATTGTATCAATAAATTGCTGCATCCATAACACTCCACACTGGGAGGGAGGACCTTCTCTTACACAATGACTGAGGGTGGAGCTGATTTCTCCAGAGGCCACTGAGGGCTGCACATTATTTCCCTCTGGGTGCTGTGCTAACCAGCTTAGTTCCCACACAAGGGAACAACTTAATACCCTCAGTTAGCTATTCATCATCACAACTCCTGATTTCAGATTTTTCACATGAGTGTCTGGACTGGACCCATACACTTACACCTCAGAAATGTTCTGTTGTAGGTAATCCTAGTATCATTCCCCACCCCCCGTAAATTAGGTTGGGGGAAGGGTAGAGCAGTGGGAATTACAGCAGCTGCTGCTGCGGTGAAAGCCCCAAACACACCTGATCTTAATTCTTTCCTGACATCTAAATGAACTTTCACTCAACCTAAGTCTAATATCCCTCACATTTCACATATGAGGAAGATAGGGTTCACATTTTAACAATGGTTTAAACTGAACGTAAAATAAGATTTAAGAATATTTTATGTGGCTGAATTCTACACCTGCGGACAAAATATACTAGGTCAGTGGTCGGCAAACTCATTAGTCAACAGAGCCAAATGTCAACAGTAAGTACAACAATTGAAATTTGTTTTGAGAGCCAAATTTTTTAAACTTCTTCTAATGCCACTTCTTCAAAATAGACTCACCCAGGCTGTGGTATTTTGTGGAAGAGACACACTCAAGGAGCCAAAGAGCTGCATGTGGCTCGAGCTGCAGTTTGCCGACCATGGTGCTAGGTCATTTATAAAGAATAATGGTGTAAGCTGCAGATTTTAATAGCTTAGTGTGAAATTGCAGGATTATCTTTTCAAGCTTATTCTTGAAGAAATATGTAATTTATTTCCTTTCTTTATATAATACTAATGTGTACAAATTCTTTTTTTAATTTAAATATATTTTATTGAGTTTTTACAGACAGGAAGGGAGAGGGATAGAGAGAGAAACATCAATCAGCTGCCTCCTGCACACCTCCAACTGGGGATGTGCCCCCAACCAAGGTACATGCCCTTGACTGGGCATGTACCTTGGTTGGGGGCACATCCCCAGAATTGAACTTGGAACCCTGCAGTCTGCAGGCCAATGCTCTATCCACTTAGCCAAACTGGCTAAGGCTACAAATCCTTTTGGAAATATGAAAAATATTTGATTTCAAATATTTTATTGTCATGCCCTAACACGTTACTTTATAATACTTTACAAGTATGTACCTAATTTTACAAATGGCATTTGATAGTTATATAGAAAGAAACTAAAAGAGGAGTGGTATTAGACAAAGTCAATAAAAAAATTAGGCAAAAGACTCAGATGTTTTTATTTGGCAATCCAAGGTAGCAGCAACACAGAAAATTCCTAACCTCCTCTGGGTATCAAAACTCCTACCCTCCCTATCCCTTCCTTTCAATTATTATATTGTAAAACAAAATAATTGCAAAATAGATTTTGTTTTAACCAAAAAAGTCAAAATTATATTTAAACAAAGTTTAAGTTTATATACAAAAATACAAATCATTCCCTTTGTTTTGAAAATTATGCTTTAAAATTGTTTTCTTACAGACGGGAAAATTTAGTGCTGACCAGGGTCTATTCTTCCAGCTACTGATTAAACTTATGAAAGAAACTGTTTAATGAAGTGAAAGCCCTTTAAACTGATGACATTTAAAAAACAACAAGCAAAACAAAGGGGAAATACTAGTAAGTTGTAAAAAATGTAAGTATTATAGCATTCTCAAGATGTGCTTCTTTATAAAATGAAAATCAGGTGATATCTTCTGGCATATGGCAACTTTATAAACAGCATATAGCACACAGCATAGTTCAGGATGCCAAGAAGTTGAATTAAACATCACCTTCAGTAAAGCTAATAATATGACTGTTTTTTGTTTTGTTTTTAAATATATTTTATTGATTTTTTACAGAGAGGAAGAGAGAGAGTACTAGAAACATCGATCAGCTGCCTCCTGTGCCCTTGACCGGAATCGAACCTGGACCTTCCAGTATGCAGGCTGACGCTCTATCCACTGAGCCAAACCGGTTTTGGCTAACATGACTATTTTTAAAGGCTGGGACATGTGAACAATAAAAGCAATGGTTTAAAATACAATAGGAAATAAAGGAAATTTATATTACATTATTACAAATCTATTCATTAATTTCTGGTGAAGATTTTGTTTTTTATAGAAGAACAATTACAGTTATTTTTTCAATTAATGATTATATGCATGAATTAAAATTACCCTATATTAAGTTTCTGAATATTAGCTACAAACAACACACATAAGTGCTGGCACATGAGAGAATTATTCCCCTTCTATAAAACCTGTTGGGGAGTGTTCCATTGGGTAATTTATAATATCAGAGAGAAAAATTGAAAACTTGAAATAAACCAAAAAAAGACTTAAATAGTACTATATCTTCACTTATTTAATATGATGTTTAAATTTAGGCTTTAATTACTTTTACATGTAGAGAAATGCAAAATTTCTATATATTTTTTCTTTTTACTTTCTCCAAGGTTAACTGAAAAGGAGAGGGGTGTATTTTACATAAAATTAGAGGACGAACTCTGAGATTTCCCCAAAATGTCTAACTGTCCTGTGGAAATGGGCACTTGTGTCATAGTAAAAAACAGAATACCATTTTTTGAACAAATCATTTACGGCCCTTTCGAACCCTGAGCTTCCTCTAAGATAAGGCTGTGCCTAAATTGGTTGACATGGCTTTATAATGAAAAAAGTCTTTCTAATTCTATCTTTCCTTAAATGAGCTCCACTTCTTGTAATTCACATGACACCCTTTGGCTGTGGTTGTCTGTTAAATTTCCTGTCCTGTCTAGTTTCAGCAAACCAAAACAAATAGCTCACAGAAAAGGCTATGGTAACCAGTTTTTTTCCCCTTTTGGTATTTCCAGTTAAGTGCTTTCTCCTTAGAGATAGATAGAGAAGGAGGAAATTAGCCACAGACAAGGTGTAAGTAGGTCACAGAAGTTTCAATGCACCAAAAAAAGTGCCATCTCCATCCTGTGATATTTTAGCATCTCCGCGTGGTATTGCAAGTAGAAGTTCATCTCCTTCTTCCAGCTTTGCAATGCCTGGAAAAGAATGGTTTACAAGAACGTTAAGTGGTTGTCCAATGGGAAAGAAAACAAAAGGAATATCAAATAAAACAATTTTGTTTTGGAAAAAGGTTAATGTAAGTAGGCATTTACACTTCAAATTACAACAATGGACTTCTAAACCAGTGACTATTCTACTAGCCTAAAGGAAAGTTAAAAAAAAAAATGAAAAAAGAAGTCCCAGCAGATGTAAATGTATTTACTGCTTATAAAGTGGAGAATCTAAACAGGAACCAAATGTTAAAATGTAAGAAAAAAATGTTAAGTAAATCATAGCACATCCATTGATGGAATATTATATAGTTCAAAATGATTTTGCTTCATTTTATTGAAATGATAAACTTTTTATAATAATTTTAAATAAAAATACACAACTATATTTACATTTAAATGTACATATAAAATATATAAATCATTAAAAAGTATAAAACAAAATACTATTCATTAGCAAAGCACATCTATTACTTAGTGTTTCTCTAGAGGCAAGATTATGGGATAAGGAGTAATTTGGATTACTTGTTATAGCCTTTTATTTTTTATGTTTCCTTTAATAACTGTATCTGTCTTTATAAACAAAAACAACAAAATACCTTCTTAAAACTAACCAATAAATCTTTATGTGCCTAATTACAATGATATATTTTGTAATTCAGGAATAAAAAACACAATTCAGGCACTACACTCAGTATTTCAGGTAATTTCTGACCCCATTAAAAAATATCTATATGGCCCTAGCCAACTTGGCTCAGGGGATATTGCGTCAGCCTGCAGACTGAAGGGTCCTGGGTTCAATTCTGGTCAAGAGCACAAGCCCAGGTTGTGGGCTCCACCCCTAGTAGGAGGCAGTCTATCAATAATTCTCTCTCATCATTGATGTTTCTATCTCTCTTCCTTTCTGAAATCAATAAAAATACATTAAAAAATATCTATATGAAAGAAAAGAAAGAGGAGAGCAAGAGGAGAAGAGACAAAGAAACTAACATACAAAATAGTATCTGAATTGTCAACACTTTCAATTAACATTTTAAAAAGTAATTGCATCATTTCGTTAATGTACACTGAAAATGTACTCACAATGAACACATCTGTGTTAACATCTATTATGGAGCCCAAAGTATCCAATTTTGGGGGGTAACAATTAATCGATGTTTATATACTGAACATTTATGATGTACCAGACACCTTTCTAGACACACATAGTATGTGTGACAAATTTTTTGGTTTTTGTCTCCAAAGATCTTGTGCTTTTTAATGGACCAAGACAGACAATAAACAAAAAAACATATTTTTGGGTACCATTAAGGGTAATGTGTATATTTTATAGGACTGGCAAAGCATTTAATGACTAAATAGTCATTAAAAAGACTGGAAATTTTTGTTGAAGAGATTAGTCATTATCATAGAGATTAACGATAATCTAATATTTTGAAAAAGGCTATAGATCCCAAAGCATTACATAATATTAATTCTTAAATAAAATGGGAATGATGCTCCCCCACTAAAACATGTTTTGTTTTTTATTTTTCTGTAGGAAATTGTCAAAAGTTTTCTAAAGTAGAGAGAAAATATACACTCCATGTACTCAGTATTTAGTTCCAATGATTGTTAACCCTTTCTCAATCTTGTTTCACCTATAATTTGAAGCAAATTCTAGACCTCATACCATTTATATGCTTCCACATGAATCTATACAACTTATCCATAAAAACTGACTACTTTTAAGGTAGAATCTATTTAAAATTACTACACTAAGTTATTGGCTATTTCAATTCTTTGCACTTTTAGCAATCTAACCTTTCCTACAATAAACGTATTTAATTTGTAAATGGAATAATGAATAAGTTTCTGCTTTGTGTACAAAAGAGGTTCTTTGGTATTATGTTGGGTCCCTCAAAAGGACCAGTTTAACTTTTGGGGGTGGGGGTTACTATGGAAGCAACTTGGACATTTACACAGTTATGTGTAGTTTTTAATGATTTTGAACACAGGTGCCCTAAAACAGATAAATATTACAAACCTGAATTTTCCTACAGAATGGTTTTATTTAATACTAAGCTATTATCATGGATAAATATCTTCAGGGTTGAGTTATTTATTCTTAAAAATCAATGCACCTAGGAAATCTGTCAAGAAAGTAAATATGAGAGCAGCAGCTTATTAGAAAATCTGAAAGTTCACTGTAAAGCTGTAACTATTAATGGATATAAGTAAATAGCAGGTTGGTATAGCCTCATTTAATAGAATTTTGCAACGCCAAAATACTAGTCACTGCTGGGAGCAGGGAAGCTTTTTTTTTTCTTTTAATGAAAATTAGGGGTTTCCAATGTAACAAATTTCCTCATCGCCCTGTTAAAGCTGTTTATGGCTGCAGACCCAGAGTGACATCATCCATATTATCACATGCTGTTTCCCTTTCTCTCTGATTCATTGTGCATTTGTTAGTAAAAACCTTTGAAATAAGTCACTTTCAGTTGAGTAGCCAGTATCCAACTCTGCTATGCATAGCAACAGCAACTGAAAACATTCCTCAGGGTTCCAAATGGGTTTGTCATACTCACCACAGAGGAATGAATGAATTAAGGCAAGTATTCTTTTTTTTTTTTTTTCTAATACCAGCCTTGATTCATTTGGAATTACTCCCCAAACAAAATAAAGGCCATGCTGTCAATACGGCCCAAACAGACCAGAAATAAACAAAGCCTATCCTTTCTCTTTTCTTTCCATATCTTTACTGCCCCTGAATTGAAATGCAGGCTCACTGCCCCACTTTCACTTCCCCAAGTCACCTGTCTGGGATCTATTACACTAGATGTCACCTTTGTGAAAGTGAGAGAAGCCACTGGGCAACTTGACCTGATGCTCTCATCAGCCAAGGGGGGATGTCTTCCATAGCAAGTAAAGAAGAGTTTCTGGAACTGTTGGCCCAGAAAAAAAACTCACTATAGACTGATTCATTTGCCTCTCAGCATAACCATTACGGCTTGTCTCAGTTTCGGTTCTTATAAGAGTATTCCTTGTATCACGTGATCTAATGCATCTAAGGGAAATAATGAACAACATAAATTGATAAACAGAAACAGACCTGGAGATAGAGAAGCATAGATCAGACTGTCAAACCTCAGAGGGAAGGTAGGGGAGGTTGAGGGAAAAGGACAGAGATCATCCAAAGGACTTGTGTGCATGCATATAAACTTAACCAGTGGTCATGGACAACAGGGTGGTAGAGACATATGTGGGGAGGGGTTTGGGATGAGAATGGGGGGATGAGGACAATTATGTGATACCATAATCAATAAAGAAATTAAAAAAAAAAAAGTTCCTGGCAGCTCACATTCTGGAATCAACCTGGCTGCTTTAAACCAAATTCTGGAACTTGGTTGCTGTGCATCCTAAGACAATGTGAATCTTAGATTTCATCTCCCTAAAACAGGTTGTTTAAGTGAACAACCATAAAGTGCAGACCAGGGTGCCTGGCACATGGTAATCATTCTCTTATTCTTCTACTAGAGGCCTGATGCATGAAATTCCAGCAAGAGTAGGCCTCCCTTCTCCCAGCTGCCAGCACCAGCTTCTCTCTGGCACCTAGAACCCAGATTTCCCTCACAGCTCCCCCCACCCCACCCCCTGCTTCGTCTGGAAGGTCGTCTGGTCTAATTAGCATATTACACTTTTATTATTATAAATTATTATCACTGTTGTTATTACAGGGTGAAGAAAATACAGCTTAGAATGGTTCTCAATGTTGGTTTCTATGAAATTACTGCCCTTTTTATATGTATATGAGATTATTATGTGTATAAAAATGATAAAACTGCCCTAATCGGTTTGGCTCAGTGGATAGAGCATTGGCCCCAGGTTTGATTCCGTCAAGGACATATACCTTGGTAGCGGGCACATCCCAAGTAGGGAGTGTGCAGGAGGCAGCTGATTGATGTTTCTCATCAATGTTTCTGACTCTCTCTCCCTTCTTCTCTGTAAAAAATAAATAAAAAATATTTAAAAAATCATAAAACTATTAGTAATGATTTTATCTGCCTCAATTAAAACAGACCAGCTTATCACTCAAGATAATCAAAACCACACAGTATATGGAGGAATGTCTTTCTGCCTATTTACAGAGAACTATTATTTACCAGCTGAATAACAGGAATTATTGGGTAGTGTTTCAGGCATGTTTTGAATACATCTGAACAAAGTCACCAGGCTCAATTCATCCCCAAAGACATGGACTTTTTTCCTCTGTATTAAGTGTCCCATGGCAAACGTGCTATCGGTGTATAAAACCTGAGAAAGAAACCAAAGAGCTTTGTCAGAGTTGAGCACAAAATGGGAGGCATTGTACAGCAATAGCAGAATAAGGGTGAAACCTACCTGGCCATATATAAAAAAGTAACCGGTTTCTTTAACTAATATTTTATTTTCTCTTTCTTCTAGGGCTCTTCCTCTTTTGAAGCTGAGAAGCCAGGGAACAAACGTGTAATCTCCTACAATGAAGAGAACAATTTATAAATAGGAAATGGAGAAAAGCAGTTTTTCATTTCTGCCTAATTACTAAACTAAGTTTGAGACATAGAGGAGAATTTTATCTAGAAGGAGGAGGAGGAGGAGGAGGAGGAGGAGGAGGAGGAGGAGGAGGAGGAGGAGGAGGAGGAGGAGTTGGAGAAAGAAGAAGAAGGAAGAGGAGGAGGAGGAGGAGGAGGAGGAGGAGGAGGAGGAGGAGGAAGAGGAGGAGGAAGAAGACAAATCCCAGTACTCCACTGGTTTTTCCGCTGCTATTTACATATTAACCAAGACAAAACCCTTGATTTGTAATGTCTGGTTTTTCTCTCATTCTTCTGAATTCCAGCAATTTCCCTAATAAGGACTGGATGGGAAAGGTTGAGACAAAGGTTGTACAAAGTGTCTCCGAATAACACACTAAGAGAGGTAGTTCTGTTTTCCTTCCGTTCCCATAGCAGACACAATGAGTTTGGAAGCATTTAACAAAGGTTATCAGGAAAAAGCAAACTCCTCTTTTCACTGAAATAATGTTAGATCCACTGTGTAAATGGATTGGTCCTTTCAAGGTGAAGAATGCAGATTGTCTTGTTACAGAAAAACCGGAGAAGAACCAAGCAATACTTAGAGAGATAAAGTTACATTTATTACGCGCTGGTCCAGAGGAAAATGTCTCTCAAATTCTGGGCCCTAATATGGAGGAATTTTCCCTATTTATATGTGTTTACCTTCTTTGTCTTCCAAATATGGGGTGTTTCCAGTTCCTTTAGCAAGTTCTTAAAGGGCCCCTATGTGCTGGGGCCTTGAGACCTCAACCAAAGGCTTGCCATGGTGCCAGCACTGATAATTTTGTCTGAGGAAGGTTTAATGGCTAAGGTTTAAGATTATTCCCATTCTCTGAAATGGGAATAGTCTTATTTCCCTTATTATTTAAGCAAGCAAGCATTTACAGAAGCCAAATAGCAGGATTAAAATTTCAAGCAGTTTTTATATAAGATGGATACTTCAATCTGGTCACCATGATGAAAAGGAAGTGAAGTCCGTAGATGTCCATGTAGCTATCATGGATCCAGAATGTTTGTTGTTCAACTTTGAGTTGAGTTTAGCAACAGATCAGCGACTTAACAACAGTTCTAAGAACTGAGACACGGGATGTGCTCAGGCCCCACCTACTCAGTGTCCTCCTTACTCCATTTTAAATGACTCTGAGCAATGCTTACTGTATTTCATTTTTTCCATTACCACTTACTGGAAATATTCCTATTAAAGAGAGTACATGTTCATTTGTTTTTAGGTACTGTTTATATTTCTCCGCACTGCACACACATGCACATACATCTACATTCATGCTCATATACAGACATGGATTCTACTCCATAAGGCCAAGGCTATGGTTGTGCTATGGTCATAGCTGTAAACCCAAATGTTAAGAATAAAGCCTAGCACATAGTATGCCCTCAGTAAAGAATTAAGAGAGTTCCAGAATGAGAAAAGCACACAAAGAATATTTGAAGAAATAATTGCCAATCTCTTCCCAACTCTGAAGAAGAATAAATCTTTACATCCAAGAAATTCAATGACTTCCAAGAAGGATAAACTCAAAAAAAAAAAAAAAAACATACCAAGATATATCAAAATGAATCAGTTCAAAGACAAATAGGATAGAATCATGAAAGCAGCAAGAGAGAAGCAACTCCTCAATTACAAGGGATGCCTAGTAATAACAGCTGACTTCCTTCCCACTTGAAACTATGTAGGCAAAAGGCAGGATTACATATTTAAAGTTCTGAATGAGGGATTATGTCAGCAAGACATGGCAAAATAGAAAGCCTTATAAATTACCTCTCCTCAGAAACAATGATTTAACAATATTATTGGAACCAAAATACCTTGAAGAAAAATTCAGAATCCAGCTAAGAAGTAGAAGCATCCTAAAGGAGCACAAAGTGTTCTCACATCAGTCCCTCCCTTTAACAGGTTTCGCTCAGCACCAAGAAGACTGCCTCAGTCCATGATTCCCTCCTGTGGAGGGGTGGGGAGCTTGCCTTCTGTGGAGTTGGTTTCTATCTTGCCTCATACCAAACACGGATAAAGTAAAAGAGCTTGGTCCCTGATACTTTTAGGAATAAAGAAAAGGGGAGAACAACCCCTTATAGCCAACATTTTTTTTTTTTTGTATGGTTGAAGAAAAGCAGAGACTGATGCTTTTCCTTCAGTAGAGAAGAAAGGAAGCAAAAGGGGTCTTGTCCCTAGCCTTAGAGTGGCTAATTCCAAGCCCTGCTAACCAAAAAAACATGTTTCCCAGTCAAAATAAGTCCAGAAAGACTGGAAGAGGTAACTGCTTCTTTGAATGTAAAGATAACTAAGCAAATCTACAAGGTAATGAGTTGTAAATCACTTTCACTCTGGTGTAAAAGTTAAAAGACAAAAGTATTAAAAAGAACTATGACTACAGTAATTTAAAAGTTACACAATATAAAAAATGTAAACTATCACATCAATAACATAAAGTGTGGGGAAGCGGGAAGTAAAGATTGAGAGTGGCTGAATGGTTAAAAAAAACCCAACCATGTGCTGCCTATAAGAGAATCACTTTAACTTTAAGGACACAGAGAGTCTTAAATGGAAAGGTTAGAAAACAATATTCTATGTAAATAGTAAACAAAAGAGAGAAGTGGCTATTCTTATATCAGACCAAATGGATAGTCAAAAACTGTCAAAAGAGACAAAGGAAATCATTATATGATAATCATTAAGAGGATATAACAAATGTGTGTGTGTGTGTGTGTGTATATATATATATATATATATATATATATATATCTCACATTGGAGATCTATATGTGTAAAGAAAACATTAAGAGCTCTTGAAGAGGAAGTAAACAATAATAATAGAGAAAAATTCAATACCCTATTTTAAAAATAGATACATCATCCAAAAGAAAATTAGTATAGAAATAGAATACCTGAACAACACTACAGACTAAGTAAACTTAAAAGATATACAAAATATTCTATTCTGCAGTACCAAAACACACAGTTTTCTTAAGTAACAGGAAAACTCTCCAGGATAGATGAAATATTAGGGTGCAAATAAAGTCCCAAAAGTTTGAAAATACTGAAATCATATTAGGTATCTTTTCCAACCACAACAGCATGAAACTAGAAATCAATAACAGGAGGAAAACTGGAACATTCACAAATGTATGGATGTTAAACAACACATTCCTGAACAACCAGTGGGTCAAAAAACAAGTCAAAAGGAAAATAGATCCCTGGCCAGGTGGCTCAGTCCATTGAAGCATCATCAATTCTGCCAAAAGGTAAATGAAGAAATATCTTGTGACAAATAAAAATTGAAACAACATATCAAAATTTATGGGGCACAATAGAGCAATGTTACTGAAACGTACATGCATAATTACATTTACATACTGTCCAAGGCTTGCTGGCATTACAAAGCCAACCCATGGTCCAAAGGGTAAAGCACCAGATGTGCACCCCAGATTGGTGGAAAGCATCCACCACACCAAAAAAATCATAACACTGAGCAGTTCATACTCACAATGGAGTAGCAGCTGTATTTTTTCTGTGTAGATTATAGCATTTTTTTTGTGCCAAATGTGCAAAAACAAATCTTTTCCAAGTCATATTTTCAAAAATTTTATCTTTGGACTTCAGGGTTTTTTGCTGGCTTAATTTTAATTCTTAGGAAACAGTTTGCTGCCTATTAAAAGTTGGAAACATAGGTCTTTGGAAAATGCAGAGCCATTAATATAGTTTCAAAATAGTTTAATATTTGTGTTATGTTTAAAATAACTAATGTCATGCAGAAAAATACGCATGCAAGATAGCACTCCTGGGAATCATTACAAAGGCCAATCCAAATTCATTATCTGGACTTGTTTCCCCATTCCTGGCTCCAGCTTAATTTCCTGCCACTTTTGAATTCCCTTTATGAGTCACAACCCAAACATTGTCTTGCCCCTGGACGGCTTTATGTTTCTCAATAGCATTTAATTTTATGAATAGCATTTACATCTTGTTCATTTCTTTTTTGTTTTTCCTTCATCAGAAGGTAAATTCTATGAAAGTAAGGAACCACATGTATTTTAGTCACTCTTAAGTCCCAGTGCCCACACAGTAATTGTAACATTGTGTATTCTTAACCATTGTATGTAAAATATAAAGCAATAATTTCACATTGAAGGTTCATCATCAGAATGTTGTGGTTACCTATTTATACATATTATATATTTATTAATAAATTAATCAGTGTAAGATGTTTATGATAGGTCTGGTTTTATCTTCATCCTACTATGATTTCTACAACCTAATATAAAAGGATAATTAATATTTGTGTGTGATGATCTTGTGGCATTATAAAAGCCAAAATGATCCTATATAATAAAAGGGTAATATGCAAATTGACCCTAACAATAGAACGAGTGGGAATGACCAGTTGCTATGATGTGCACTGACCACCAGCAGATAGATGCTTAATGAAGGAGCTATTCTCTGGTGGTCAGTGTGCTCCCACAGCGGGTTCTCTGCTCAGCCACAAGCCGGGCTGATGACTGTGAGTGCAGCAGCAGAGGCAGGAGCCTGTCCTACCTCCTAGGCAGCACTAAGAATGTCCAACTGCAGTTTAGGCTCGCCCCCGGGGGGAGAGGGGGCGGAAACAGGAGAACCACACCTAAGATGTCAGTTGGACATCCCCCAAAGGCTCCTGGGCTTACAGAGGGATGTCAGACTGTCAATTTAGGCCCGGCCCCCTGGGGAGTGGCCCTAAGGTGGCAGGTGGATATCCCCCAAGGGGTCCCGGACTGCAAGAGGGTGTAGGCCAGGCTGAGGGACCCCCCGGAGTGCACAAATTTTCGTGCATTGGACCTCTAGTTTCTAAATAATAAAAAATTGAATTTGCTGTAATATTGACTTTGTTTTATCATATGCTATTTCTAAGTATTAGTGTCTCTAAGATAATTCTGTTTTAAAATATTAACATACCTATTCCCTAATTATTTTGAATATATATATATATATTTTAAATTTTACATCTGACTATAAGAAGTTTGAAATAGAGAGTTGCTTTGACCTGAAATTTGAATACAGTCTTTGGACTTGAAACTTACAACTAATTGGACTATACTGAATTCTAAGTGGAAAAATTACTGGGACTATTTTGTTACCTTTTCGTATAGTAGGCATGTCACTGTCTGCAATCAGTTGCAAGCAGTCTTGAATGACTGAAAAGCAAAAATGTATCATTTTAGTTACTTGAAATAGTAAGGGAACTAAGATGACTTAGAACATAAAGCTACAAACTCATTCTCCAGTAACACCAAATCTATTATACTTTCTACAGAGCTTGTATATTGTTCTTAAAATTACTTTATGAAAGTTGTTCATGGTTTTTTATTATAACTTGTACTTGAAATATAATTTGTCCTTTAAAATTCATGTTTTAGAAAAACTCTATATGCTGTTGAAATATAGTAAGTATGTCATCTTTGCTAACGTTTATTGAGAAGACACAAATCCAACCTCAAAAAAAAAAATCCTAAAAATTATAATATGTGCTGAAAGCTAAGTCTTGTAGAGTGTAAACAACTTGCTCAGGATCTGAGATGGAAACCACATCTGTTTCACTCTGGATCCAAAGTCAGGCTTTTGTTAAAATATTTGCACCCAAAAGAGAAGAGCTAGAACATCTTTTAAAAATAAAATGGAAGCATTTCCCTTAAACTGCTTAATCAGTACAGTTTCTGGGAAGCATCAATGCATATCACATATTACATGTACAGTAGAATATTGCAGAGAATATTCAAGGGAATAAAAAACTATTCTATTAAATAAAGACAAAAGTCATCAGATAAAAGCAAAATAAGTAGACAAAATCAAAACAGTAAATATATTTGAAATATATAAACCTAAGTGTGCCTATTTTAAATTAAGAAACTATTAGTTTATATTTTTATTATCTATCAAGTATTTTACTCAGAATTAAATACTTTAAAACATGCTTCTCAATGTATAGATTTTAAGAGCTTGACACGAATTTTTGCTTCAGTTGATTAACTGAAAACTTTATAATATTTAAAGCATAGAATAACAGATACAATAACCTTATATGATATTCTGAAGCTGTGCAAGTGCATTGGCCTAAAAAGAATTCCACTAAAGGGACTTATCACACAAGAAAATCTGTTAAGAAATTTCCATTGGCATTTAAAGGTGGAATATAATGTTAAAAACTGCAATTCCTTTATAAGAAGGAAACATTTCTAACACATTTTTATGTTAATCTGATCAATTCAATAAGAATAGCATATGTGGGCCTACTCTGTGATTCTTTCATACATTTGTAAAATAAGGGCAGTCATGTCTGTGCCATAAGGAAAGTGTGACTCAGTGCAGTTACTATGGCAGATCCTCTGCCACGAAAATATGTAAAAACATCGTAACAAGCAGAACAGTTGTAAGGAGGCTTTGAACTTAGAAGTAACGAAACATCCAAAGCAGCTAAAGTCTGAAGGTCACACCATATCAAAGGTCACACTATAGAGCCACATTAAACCTCTTTTAGATGCATTTCTATTTTTCTAACAAATACTTCTTAAGAAATTACTACTCATAAGGCACCCTGATTGCTTTTGTGAGGGAGGCAAGGGTCAGTCAGAGCACCTAACGCTCTGCTCTTTCCTCCACAGAGAGAAAAGAAGAGGATGCTGATAAAGGTCAAATTTCCAAATTCCCATCTTTCTTTTGTCTTTATGTGTACATGCATATTATATAGAGTAAATGAGATAATACACATGAAACATTTAGTATATAATAATGGCAAAATCACTCTTGGCTAGTAGTAGTAGTAGTAGTAGTAGTAGTAGTAGTAGTAGTAGTAGTAGCAGTAGTGTTAGCATTATTGTTCCTGAAACAACAATGCACCCAACAAACTGGGAACATAATGAAGGACAGTATGAGAGCATGAAGATCAAGTGAAGCTGATAACAAAGAGACCAAAGAAATACTATAATACATTACTTCCTATTTCAATGAACCCTTCCCCTGTTTCCCCCAAACTTCTGTAAGAGAGTTTTATACAATGAGTGATGCTTCAGTACTACCAAAAATTGGTATGAAAATTTTAATTTTAACTGAATTTTAATCTCTGCAGTCTAACTAAAACTTGGCTACAACCTATATTTTGAAATACAAAGATCTATCCCATCATGTAGTAGCAGAAATCTACATTTTAGAAGGAAAGATGCTATGGAAAGAAAAGTTTACTTTGAGAAATACCCTTTAGAAAAGAAAATGGATCTACACTATTACAATAAACTGATGAATCAAATAAAACCAGAGGCATGGAAACATGGAACAGACTGAGGAATCTCAGAAGGAAGGGGAGAGGGGGTGGGAAGAGATCAACCAAAGGATTTATATGCATGAATGCATTGCGCATAAACACAGACAACAGGATGATGAAGGCCTGAGGTGAGAACCTGGTGGTGGGGGGACAATGGAAATTGAAGGTCAGAGACATTCTAATACTTTCAATAATAAAGATAAAAAATAAAAATTTATGTTAAAAAAAAAACACAAAAGAAAATGGGATATAAAAGTGACAGTTCAATAGTAGTGTTTGAACCATACTAGTACTCACTGAAGCTAGTGCTATTCATTATTTATTATTATTCCAGAGAAAGTAACTGGGCTTTTCAAGTTCTGTTGAAAAATAAGATTTCCACCCTAGTCGGTTTGGCTTGGTGGATAGAATGTCAGCTTGCGGACTGAAGGGACCCAGTTTCGATTCCAATCAGGGGCACATGCCAAGGTTGCGGGCTTCATCCCAGTAGGAGGTGTGCAGGAGGGAGCCAATCAATGATTCCATCTCATCGTTGATGTATCTATCTCTCTCTCCCTCTTCCTTCCCCTGTGAGATCAATAAAAATACATTTTAAAAAAAAAAAAAAGAAAAGTAAGATTTCCTCATTAGATGTTGCCCAGGTCCCATCAACCCCATTAGTGTTATATATCTCTTCATATTTCAACTCCTTCTTAGGAAATTTGTTATCTATTATCCATATATCTCCAGTTCAGACTTTTAGGACTCTCTATTTCAAAATAGCATTTAAATATTTTCTATTCAAAAACATTTTGAGTTTGAAATCTGCCTTCTTAAGTGTAATATTCAAATACCATTTAATCAGGGAAAGGGACTTTTAAGCTTATAGGATAGTTAATATTTGTTGTATTACTTTCTAATTCATCGTTCTTCTCACTAATTTGGCTAGAAAATTTTAATTAGAAGAAATCCCTTAAAGAGCTAAACATTGACCTAATGCTAGACATAGCTTTATGGAGAAATTGAAGACAGAACTGCTTTGGGATAAAAATTTCTACTGGAATGGAAATACAACAATTTAGGTGTGTAAAACTGGATTATAAAGTTTTATTTGATCTATGATAAACAGTTTGCTTGGGTGGCTACTTATGAAACCAGTAAGAGTTGAGAGAGTTTTAAGAGAATTTCTAGAGAACTAGATTGAGCGATGCATACTTCACCTACTATAAAACAGGAAAAAACAATCAGGAATTGTTCATCTTGAGAGGAACCAGCCTGATACATGTTGATCATACATGTGTCTATGCATAAAATGAGTTGCCATAAAGGGAGACAACAGCAAGCCAAGTTTCAGCTGTTGATTGGTAATAAACATATGAGAATAATTTGGCCTAAAATGCAATTGTACAAATGAAGTATTCAAGATGCAGTGTAAAAAAAATTAAAAGTTTGTGACTAATGACTATATGTGTTTGAAGGAGAATGAAAAACTATAAAGAAACAAAACTGTTTTTAAAAAGCAAAAACAAACAAAAAACATATAAGCTTTCAATTCTGGGAAATTCAGGGAGATGGTAGTACCATAATGGCCCTGGGGAAGTGAAAAATGGGAGCTTTTTTTATTTGAGGGCTGGAAAGGAGTTGATAAAATAAAACAAATAACTACAGCTGACAAGAGCAAAGAAAAATATTTAAATTAAAGATTTTCTGTGTGTGTATGTGTAGACAGCTTTATGCATTAATTAGTCATCGTCATGTGCTACTCACAATATAATTATATTCTATGCTTAAGGCAATGTAGGTTATGTAAAATGGTAGCTCTTTCATAGCCTCATAGACACTAAGATTAAAAAAAAATCTGAAAAACAAATATTTTCATCGAATGCCGTTTTGTTTTACAATTGATCAAATATTTTAATTTGAAATTATTAATTTTATAGTTGAGTCATCATTGCCACTGATATGTTGTTGTTGTTGTTGTTGTTGTTTTCTTTTGCCATGACTTCGCATTGTTTTAAAATATTTCTCAATTAATGATTTATACTCAGAGCTCAAAGGATATAAGTAACTTGCCGGTGAAAAACAATATGCAAGGATGTCTGAAATTTAAGGAAATTAAAACCAAATATAGAAATAGGCCTGAATGTCTCTAGAAAGGTAATAATAAATTGCACAAGTGGCTGTTACATCTTCAACTTCTGGATATTTCTGTCTGAATGCCATAGTGTTGATTAATCAAGTTCAACATGTCCCAAATCTATTTCTTTATTTTCCTCATACACTCACTTCTTACTCCTCTTTTTTTCTCTTAATGGATATATAACTGTTCTCTGAGTTGCTCAAGGTAGAAACTTTATACATATGCCTAATTCCTTCCTCCTCACTCTTGAAATTCAATAAGCAAATTTTAATGGCTTTAGTTTTTAATTTTTGTTCAATTTAGATTTTATATCTCATTCAACAATTTTACTGAGCACTATATTTATGTCATGTGTTGTGCTAGGGATACAAAAAAAAGGGGGGGGGGAACAATTCCTACCCTCATAAAATTTACAATCTAGTGGGAAGAACAGGCATGAATCAATATGATAAAAACAGAACTAAAGTTGCAGTTGTGTGTGAGAGAGAGATTACTCAGACATTTGACCCAATTAGGAAGGCCTCTCTGAATGATGGCACTTTAATTAAAATCAGAATTAAGGGAATAGGATATTTCCAGACAAAATTCATAGTCATGAGTATATAGAAAGGCTGATTGATGTTGGAAGGACACAGCAAGTATATGTGAAGGAATGACGGGGGGGGGGGGGAGGGGGGGAGAAAAAGAGAGAGAGAGAGGAAAATGGGAAGACCAGGAACAGGGTACCGCATGCTCACGTTTTTACCCCTATGGTTCTTACA